TGCTGCTTCGGCCTCAGACTCCAGATGGTACGCATGTGGGGATACCCAGATCCTTCTTGGGCACAAGCCACCACCACTACCACCCCCATTCTCCCCACCCCCATCTCCCTGGGGCTTTGTCTCCAATGTGAGGGCTGGACCTTATCACACCAGACATTCCAATTACTCCAAAATGAGTTCACCAGTATCATGGGCTGGTTCACCAATGCACCCCCAGGGCAAATTCGCCCCAAGATAATCACCAGAGATTCTATTTTCCCTTCTAGAAGAGAGATGCTTACAGAGCAGGCCCCAGGGGAATTTAGGACAGCCATACTCTGCAGGGGACCCCACCCCCAACCCAGGTTATGGTCTGACCATTCCAGAACTTCAAGACATATTACCATCCATGATAAAAACAAACCACCATCTCCTGAGCCCCATGCACCCGTCACTACACCCCTCACAGCTACCCTGTGAGGATGACTGCGGTCCACTGTACAGATGGGTTAACTGACACAGCGCGGGTAAGGCAAGGAGCTTGCTCAGGCTCACAAAGCTTTGATTTCCAACACTGGACTGGGCCTGGACTCTTCCTGAAAGAAAGAAAGTCTAGGTTCTGCAAAGAGCAGATGCCTGTCCCTGTGCTTTGCTCAGCCATGGGCAGAGATCTGAGCACGTGGCTCCTCCTGGGGGTCTCCCCAAGTCAAGAAAACCCCTCCTTGGCTGAGAAGGCATTGCAACCCTGCACCCTGAGCCTCCCACTGCCAAATTTCAAACTGCTGCAACAGGCCAGGGGTGGGGGGACCCACCCAACCCAGCTCATGAGTACCCCTCCCAGCACCTGAGAATGAAGTGATCCTAACTCCCAAGCACCAGGTGAACACAGGGCCTGCTTGCCCACCAAGCCTGATGCCAGCCTCCTAATCCCTGAGCTCCCAACCACAGGAGGGACACTGAAATGCCTTTGCCCGAGACTGATATTGCCATGGCGGTCACCTCCTCCCCAAAGACTGCTGGTACCAGACCCCTGCAGTGACGGGGCCCCGGCTGTGAACTTCTCACCTATACACCCTTCATAGACAGCTCAGGTGAGCACATACTCTGCAGAGACCTGAGGTCTAGCAAGGCACAGCTGACACCCTGAACACAGCTGCAGGGCTGCGAACTGGCTTTTGAAAGGCTCAGGGGAGGCTCGCACCTCCAAACAGATGTAGCCCAAGACTGTCCAAACAGAGGAGAGGAGCAAGGGGTCAGATGGGGTCAGGTCAGACTGGCTCCTTTCCCAAACCCCACAGCGGGTCCATCCAGTGTGGGGCTGCATGGGTCAAGAGCCAGAGGCAGACACCACCAGGTCACAATCTCTCTACACTCACTCTATACAAGACCCTTGGGCCTCCACTCCATCCAAGTGACTTGTCTGCCACCATCCCTGTCAGTTTCACCCCCTCCGAGCTCCCACAGTATGGATCTTGAGAACATTCCGGTACACAGGAACACAACACCGAGAGTTGACCAGGTCAAGTAGAACCAGCCCAGGGGGTGAGGGGGGTCTGGTTCCGACTCCCCTGACCCCAGAGGTACAGTCACTGTCTCCTAGTGGTCCCAGCAGGGCCTTTGCAGGGTGCTGGGTGCTGAGCCCAGGATGAGGCTGGCCTCTGCTCTAGATGCCCCAAGAAAAGAGACCAGCTCAGGCCTCTGAGGTCAGGATGCTCCACACTGGCAACCCCAGTGTCACCTTGTGGGAGTGGCCAGATCCTCTGGGTCCTCAGCACAATAGCCCCACACTGCCCTGGAAATCATGGGGGGATGTCCAACCCTAGCACCTGGGAGGGCACCACACACCCAGCACCTGGGAGGGCAGCCTTCAGCTGAGCGCATGCTGGATAGTTCACCGGCCTGGGCAGCAACGGAAGGCCACTCCCAGCCATGTTCCCTTGTCTTTAGTAAGAGCTTTTTGACTTTAAAGGGATAGGCTGTAAACCCCGGAAGCCAGGGGAGATACCACTCCCAGCCCAGGTGGACAGGGCCTCCCCAAGCCCAGCAATGTTCATGCTGACCCCTGCACTGCTCACTAGGCACTGAGAACCAAGTCTGGGAGCCTAGGCCCATCGTCTTCTCGCCATGCTGACCTCTCCCTCCAGTCCCTAATGCAGCAGACCAGCCTCCTGGCTCAGCCTCCACAATGGGCCTCCTGTTCCCACTGACCTTTTGTCCCCTCCACCAGAGCCCCCAGTGTCTGGGGCCGGATGTTTCTCTCCCAATCCTTGGATGGGTGGGCAAGCAGAAGGGCCTGCCAGGCCAGGGTCTAGTTCTAGTTGTAGGACTCAGTCCTGCTGCAGCCTGAGGAAAGTCTGTTGCCTCTAGAACTGACTAGGACAGACAAAGCCCAAAGTAAATCCCTGGTCCCAGCTCCACTGCCTTCTGAGAACAGAGAAACAGCTGTCCCCAGCAAGACACACAGCCCCCACCCCCCAATCCACCCACCACCATGCTGTTCGGAGCCCAGTTCACTCAGAGACCAGGACAGGGAGGTACCACTGCCCAGCCAGAGATGTGGGAGCTGTGGGGCTCAGGCCCTTGGCTAAGAACCTTCTCTGACCATGCCGGCATCCTGTACCCCTGCAGCGCCCCCAGTCCCGGACATCTGTAGAACAGCCCCACGCTGCCCAACACCACACATAGCAACATTTATCTAGAGCACCCGAGAACAAGTCTGAAAGTATCCCAGACATGGGATTCACAACATCCCCAACATACCAACAGTGCAGACACTGAGGCCCAAGGGAAGGGAGAGGCCGGGCAGGGGTCCCACAAGGGGCTAGCAATGGAGGAGCCCCCAGAGGAGGAAGTAAGAAGGGATAGTGCTGGGCTCAGGGTCAAGATCCTGGATTAGGATCACCCCTTTCCTGAAGGCAGAGGAGAGTTCCCCAGAGAAACACCCCCAGGATCCCTGGGCAGTAGGATGTGGAATTTACTTACTCTATAGTCAAAGCACTCCAGGAGGTCAAGATAAGCCTAGTTTCGAGTCTGACATACCAAGTCCTACAACAAATGAAAGCCCTGAAAACTCTCCTCCATATCCTATTCCAGGGCCTAGAGTCACACAGGGCAGAACTGAAACCCTCAAACCTAATTCTGGTGACCCCTGTTCAGGTATGTTCACCCTCGGCTGAGGCAGAAGCAGCGGGAATTTCAAAGCAATACTCCTGGCCTCCCTGATGGGGGGCTGGGGGGGACCATGCCCACCTGTGCCCTGCTGCTTAGACCCACCAGGCCTCCCCAGGGTCATGTGAGACCACAACATGCCTTAACCCAACAGAAGCCAGATTCCAGGAAGAGGAGCCTTCAGAGTGCCTGCCCCACCACTAGGTAAGAGCCCCAAGATCTCTCGAGAAGCCAGGTGACACCTGAACCACCTCCCTTCTAGTCCCACCTTGTCCTTCTGAAAACAGGGGGCTGATGTCTAAACCAGGATTGAACATTCAGAAGCCAGAAAAACCCCCACCAAACAGGAAAGCCAGCATGCTCGCTCTCTCCAAAGTGTCACAGTGCTCCCTCAGACCCATTGCACAGATGAGGCATGAGGCCAGAGAACAAATCCAGGCCCCAAAAGCCACCAGGCCTAAAGTCACAGACCTGCTGCCCAGAGGGAGCTGAGTAACTGTCCCCATGGGCCCAAGCAGGGAGAAAAAGTCTCACACACACAATTTCAGTGTGGAACTTCCTGGATCCCCCAGTACCAGGCCTGGAAGTCAGCACGGCCAGCCCCCTCCTAGGAGGAGGCTTTGTAGCAAATGGCCAGTGTGTGCTGGCCCCTGGTGAGCAAAGAGGCCAATCTAAGCCACAGTCCCATGAGTCTCTGAGCACACTTCCCTGAACACAGACAGCTGGAGGAGGGGAGGTGGCTGCACAGCCCCAGCCCTAGGACCTCAGCTAAGGAAGCCCACTCCTCAAGTGCTCACAAGTCTACATGGCAGCCAGTTCCTCTCAGTGTCCCTACGAAGGAGGAGGTCCAGCTTTCTATGAACATTGTGTCCACCCCAAACTCACGCTAAAACCGTCTCCCCCAACATGACGGTGGTAGCAGTGAGGTCTTGGGAGAAGACTGAGTTACGATCTTTTGTGAATTGATTCATTCGTAATCCCTCATGGACAGGACTAAAGCCCTTACTAAAGAGGCCCCCAGGGCTCATGGCCCCTTTTGCTAAGTGAGGTGAGACGGCACCAGCTGTGAACCAGGAAACAGGCCCCCACTAGATAGTGAATGCTGGTGCTGTAACTACAGGCGTCCCAGGTCCCGCCTGCAGAACTGTGCGGCCTATGGTATTGTGAAAGCAGCAGAGTGGTCTAGGACAGGACCGTGCCCTGCCTTCCTGATTCACAGAAAGAACTCACCAGGACCCACAGTCAGAGTCCTGCACCAGGGGTGATGCCAGTCGTCTGACCCTGCGGTTCACCCCAAGCACCCTCACCTTCCTCCTGTGCTGCTTTAGAGCAGCAGCAGGGGTCCTTCCCCCAAACCAGGGACTTGAGGCAGTGCAGGTTCTGAATAGAACGCCAAGCAGCAGGGACTCCCCTGTCCACCAAGAACCCTCCGGGGCAGGGAGATGTCAGCTTCTAACCTAGCCGTCGGACATTGGACAAGACCCATTGGCAAGGCCAGGGTAGGTCACGTACAACCCAGGTTGTAAGATCCTTTCTCCATAGTCCTCCTACGCTGTCTGTGCAGCAAATGGGAAAGCAGGCCAGATCCCACCCCAACCCAGACAGTGGAGACCCTTACTCAGGCTACTCCTGCCTTTCTCCAGCCCCTCACACTGGGCATTCCTTCTCCCTGGGCCTCGGTGTACCTGTCAGGCAAGCAGGAGCACAGCTGTTCAGCCACCCCACCAGTCAGGCCAAAAGCATCTTGTCAGTGTCCAGAAGAGACTGTGGTGGCCCAGCGGGGTGCCAGCCATAGGGGTCTGCGGGCACAGAGCAAGGGGTGCTCACCTTGACGCTGCGGTGGTGGATGCGCGAGGGCTGGCACTTGACGCTGCTGGTGTTGCAGCAGCCTGTGCAGCGCTTCACCTCCACACACGGGGGCCAGATCAGGAAGTTGGCAGACGTGGGGTCGACCTGGCTCCGAGGTATCTCATAAATGACCGTCCTGGTCTTGCAAACTGCGGGAATGGCTTCCTCTGCAGAGGCAAGGGCATGATGGTGAAGGCAGAGACCATGCCACAGCCCAGCACAGTGCTGTGCACCCACCACAGCACATGGTGACTGTCTGCCCAGGGCCTCAGCAGCTCCTGCTAGGCCTCAAGGAGACCAGGCGCCCAGCCCCACAAGAGCTACTGCTGCCTCCAGTGCCACCAGGACACACGATGGGACCCCTACCTGACAGCTGGAGGCCAGCCTAGTCCTAGGGTGCAGAGGTCCTGAAGTCTAACAATGCACCAGGGCTGAGGACTTTCATACCTACATAGGCCGGGGGACTGGGAAAGGATGGGGGACCCACAAATAGCCCGACACTCCAAGCCCTCCAGGAGCCAGAGACCTGCTTACAAAGGTCACCAAGAGGCCACCCAAGCCTGCTGGGAGAGCTCGTGCCCCCAAGGAGAAGGAGATGCAGCTATTTTCTGCCCCAGTACACACAGTGCAGGCCAACCACAGCCCTGAGGAACTCCGTCTGGACACCAGGGCATGTGCAATAGACCAAGAAATCCCCTGGATCCCAGGCACACACCTTCCCCCCAATACAACCTTACTAGGCCACGCTGGTCCCCAGGCCCAGCTGGTCATTATGTAATGGATGCCTGGCACCATCCAGCCATGGGGCTTGGCCAACAGGAGGCCCCACTGCCCAGACATGTGCCTGAGGAGCCCGGCCAGCAGGCTGAGGGGCCAAGAAGTCTCTGGGGGCCACCCACAGATGCTCCCTGATGCCCCCGGCAACCCTGTGAGGCACCCTAGACACAAGGCCCAGAGAGGGAAGGAGGGTCAGCCTGCAACGAAAGGCCGAGGCCCAGCCCAGCCCAGAGCCACCCTGAGGCACAAGGCCAACAGGCACATCCGGCAGGCCACACATACCAAGTTAGCCAACTCAGTGAGTCCAAAAAGAATGGGGCCTTCCCTCTCTTGACTTCTTTGGACAATACAAGATAGAGAGCATGAACCCAGTGAAGAGACCACTGAGTCCCAGAGAAAAGGGTCAGCCCCACCTGGTTCCTCGTCTGCCCCCAGGGTAAGACCACCTCCCACGGGCCCTGAACACACAACAGGTGTCTGGATATGCAGCCTTCTGGCCCCTCTGAGAGCATAAGGAAGCACCCCCGGAATCCTCACTAGCTCTAGATACTCAGGTCTGGCAGCCCCAGGCCTCTCTGAGACAAAGGGACTCTACCCAGCACCCAGATGTGCCCTGTGGGTAGGAGAGGCTAGGGAACAGGGCCAGGTAGGGCCAGAGGGTGGAGTCAGGGCAAGGCCCTTCGCCTGCTCACAGATAACTCTTGTTCCTGTCTGTACTTCGGAGAGAATTCAGCCACCCTGGCTGAGGAGCCCTGGCCTAAGATGAGTCTGAAGGATTTATCAACAGAATGCACAGTCATCACAGTAAACATTTCAGAGACAGAAGGGCCTGCTTGTATCAACCAGGATTTATTTACCCTATGCCACACTCAACAGTAAAAGACTGGGAGGAAAAATCATCTTTTTGGAGGAAACTAAAGCTCAGAGAGGGAGATTCCCTTGTCCAGGGTCCCAGAGCTATAAGCAGCAGCTAGGGTTCAGACAGACGGACAGGGGATATTCTGTGTGAGGTGACGGGAGCCAAACAATCCCTCAAACTGATGCCCAGGTAGAGCCCTAGAGCCAGGTGAGAGTGGGAAGGGGGCTGCAGGAAGGGTCCGAGAGGAGGAGCAACAGAGAGCAGCCTACAGGACACAGCACAGGACTGCTCCCAGCTCGCAGTCGTAGCAGCTTGTCACCGGGAGCTAATGCTGAATTGGAAATTGAGTACGAGGCCTCCTCGAAGACAAGCCCCAACAAGATCGAGCACTTAAGGAATTTATGATGGTTCTTCTCTCCTGGAAACTCTCTTGGCCCAGACAAGGACTGCAGTGAGGGGCAGGCGGGCTGGGGCAGGAGACACCCGCCAAGTGGAGGAAGGAGGGAGGCTGAGCTGCAGCGGGCAGGGCCTTTGTTTTATGAAGGACCCAGTGGCTGGCCTGAAGCCACAGAGTCAGGGGAGAGCCAGGCCAGCTCTTCCCCACCCGACCTGCCCCTCCCGAGGCCCGGCCCACTCTGCCCCACGGAGGCAGGCTCCCGGACTTACCAATGCTTCTTTTCCTGCGAATAGGCACAGGCCGTTTCTCGGGTGCATGCTTGGTGGCACGGACCCCGTGGGCTCTCAGGCTAGTTTCCAAAGCATCCTCGGCCCCTATAGGTAAGAAGAGAAAATGGCGGCCAGCTCACTCCCACCTCACCCCAAGGGGCTGTCCAGCACTTCCTACACGTCAGCTTTCAGGGCCACCGGGGAACAAAAAACAAGGCAGTTCAGCCCAACCCTCCCTCCCCAAGACAGGCAGGTCCCCTGGGAGACCCTCCTTCCCACATGAGGCTTTTTGGATTTGCAGTAGATGACACACAACTGCCAAAGATGTCCTAAGATGTAATGACCATTGCTAGACCCGGTGGCAAAGCTGAGGACCCTTCAGGGAAAGGGCTTAATTGACAGAAAAGACTTCCCAACGGTGCCTCCAATGGGGCCAAGTGAGGCTGAACCGGGTCAGGAAGGCCCTGGTAGCTGCCCCCTCCCCACCCCTGCAAGAACAACAAATTAGGCCTCTCCTGGGGACAGCGGGGGCAGAGAGGGCACAGGGCTACCCCACACTGCACAGAAGTGAAGGACAAGTAGGGGCTCCTGAGGTTTCCACCGGGGTGTGTACATCTCCTCTTCCTCCCTCAACCAATCCCTAGCAGAGAGTCTTAATCTTTGAGGGGCATCAGAAGAAACACCAGACTGGGCTGCAAGCCAGACCCCACTTGTTCCTGAAATAAGTCTACTCCCAGGGTAAGAGGCCATGAGAACAAGTGAGAGGGGAAGTGTGGTCTCTCATGGGGCACACTGCAAGGGAGGAGCGGCTGCTGGCCTGAGCGAAGGGAGACGAGCTACAGGAAGAAAGGTAGTCAAAGCTTGAGCTTCTGCCAACCATGTATGCAGTGAGGGCAGCAAGGTGCGGAGAGGGGCCAAGGTCTCCCAGCCA